CAGCTTTGTTTGAGCTGAAAACAGAAGTTAGAGTCTAAAAGGAATACTGGAATTATTTGAAAACAGAATTTTGTCTTTCAGTTGGAGGAAAGTTGTTCAAGTTTTAATTGATTCATTGTTATATGTCACTTTATTCTTGGAAAGAATTAAGGCAGCAAGTATGTACAAAGACTTTCTTCTTCACAGCCATCCTTCATGAAGGAGTTGCTAAGGTTCACTTTGTCACCTTCCAGTCACTCCTTCACCATGAACTTCTGGTTCTGCTCTACTCACCCAACTGTAGTCCTTACAACAGGGTCACCAGGGATCTCCTTTGCTAACTGGACAGCGTTCTTCATTTGACCTTGTTATAGGGCCTAAAAGTGACTGTTCCTTTTGTGAACATTCTTTCTGTTTATAATAGTAATATATGTAATATATGTTCATTGTGAAAATTTTGGAAAATGACATCTATATCTCTATCCAGAAAATGTTTTTCTCATTAAAATGTTTTCTGTGGAGCCTTGTTCCTTTCCTCCTATTTTCCTGACCAGACCTGTGTCAGTCTGCCTACTAGATATCTGTCTTACAGGCAACACTTTTTAAAACTGAACTTACCCTTTTTCCCTGCTCCAGATCTGCTCAGCCACCTTTTTTCACCATCTCACTAAAAGGTATCCCACTGTTCATCCAGTTGATGAAGCCATAAGATGAAGACCCATCCTTGACACCTGTCCCTCAATCTCTGTTTATAATTAGGTAAACTTGCTGTCTGTTGTTTATTAATCTGCTCACAGCACCTTAGCTAGACTGATTATTCTTCACCTATCTCAGTTTCCCAAAAGTATCATTTACTCTCAAACCTCTTAGGACTTTTGTATCTTCCTTTAGGGCTTAGCTTAGAAAGTCAGGGCTTTTCTGACCTTTCTATACCCTCAAGACTTGACCTTGGTGCTGGTGGTTCCCTCTCATCCCTTCATACACCCCTTCCGTGTGTTGTCCCCCCCTGTCTCCCTGCTTGGATTCTCTCAGCACCTGTACTGTCTTTATAAACACACATCACATTCTATTGTAATTGTTTATTGACTTCTCTGTCTCCTTAAGGGCAGTGACTGTGTCTTATTCTTTATTATACCAGTAATATACAACCCAGAGTGTTTAGTAAATTTCTGATGATAAATGGATAGTAGGAAATGGGTGGTGATTAGGGTGAAAAAAATTGGAAGATGTTATGTTAGTTTTATGATCTGGCTGCTTTAAAATTATCATCTTAAGTGATGTGATTGGCCTTCTGTCTACCTGGTCCTATAGTAATCGTTCTGTGCATAAGCCTCCAAAGTGTGAAGTACAGTAGGGCAAAGCAGGAATGAAGCTGATAACTTGGCTGGCTGGCCTCCAGCTTGCATTCCAATGATAAACAGGTTAGGCTTTCCTATAGGTAAAAGTAGTGGAGCAGAGGGAAGATGGCTGCCGAAACTAGGGCAGCTGTGCCAGAATTGAAGAGACGAGGGAGCATTTTAGTGACTTGGTGATTGGATATGGGGGTCAAGGAGGAGCAGTCATTTAATGACTCAGCTTTCTAGCTTGGTTGGCTAGGCACTTACTGCTTTCATTTACTGTTTTCTATTTTTGAGATTCTTTTTGACATCCAGGTACGTCTACTAGGCAGGCAGTAGGATATGAAGTTGGGAGAGCATGCCGCTGGAGAGCCATCAGTATGTGGTGGATAGAACTGAGCTGTACAGCCTAAGATTAATAATGATCTAGAAGAAGAAGGAACTCTGAGGAACATGGATGTTTAATGCTGGGGAAGAAGAGAAAAGAGCTGGGAAAAAGTAGTGTTAAAGAAACTGAGGGGTTGTAGTTGTAGAGGAAATTTGGCAATGAAAAGGCCATTGACTTTTTTTGTGCTTTAAATGGAATAACAAGAAAATGGTTCTGTCTTTACCGAGCTGTTAGAATAGATGCTTCATGTGCACTATCTGCAAGGCTTTTTGTTGGGCAGGTCCACCTCACCCCTCTTGGTGGACCAGCACCCCAGCCCAAATTGAGGACCCCACTGATACTCTTACATCGGATCTAACACATGACCTTTAATCCCTTCCAAGTTAAATCTAAAGGTTGAAAACAGATCTTAGAAATTCTGGATCCATTCCCAGAAATTCTGATTCATTGTGCCCAGGGATCTTAATTTTTTACAAGGATATTTCTGACTATCTAAAGAACACTCGTGTAGGTAGATGCTATAGCCCAGCATTTCATTTAATTGCAAGAGAGCAAGACTTTCTTATGGTGAACTTCAAAGTACAGTTGTGATGAAGAGATTGGCAACCATGGAAACCTGGCTGAAGCTTTCCACAGTGCCTGTGTTTGTGGGGGTGAGGTGAGGGTGGGGAAAGCGCCACGATCTGGTGTAATCTTTTAGAGATGTAAAGTTTCTGTCTTACGGGTTTTGGGGGCAGTGCTCTTGGTGCCCAGCATCATATCCTGGTGGCCTACCACTGATTTCAACCCAAATTCAGATTTCTGCAGTTTCTCACTCTAACTTACTACTCATGCCGACACTCTTCTGTTTTCTGCCTCAGGACGTTCAAACCCAGCAAAGGAAGGATGTTGGTTAATATCCTGGGCAACCTTTAAGTAGGGGACAAAAGCCTATGCTTAATCATTGTGCTTCCTCCAAGGGTCCCTACCCTCCAGCAGTCATACTGATGACATCCAATGGCCTTACTGGTTTTTCTTCTTCCTTGGTTGTACCTTTCCTCACTTCTGTTCCCCGGGATCATCTCCTGTTTTAATCTTGCTAAAACCCTATTAGCAGTGTGTCACTTGATCTGACTTCATAGGTTAATAAGTGCAAACAAAAGCCTTCTGTAATTACATTTAGTTTCTTCTTAATGTCCCTATCAATAATAGCACCTAAAATAACGTGTGGGGGAGGAAGGCAAAGAGAACATATTGTGCAATGCAGAATGGCACACACATTGCTGAAGTTTAAATTTATTCACAGACACTGTAATGAGATCATTATGTGAGAATTCATTGGATTTTTCAACAACCTCCATTTCTCTCCCTTCACTTAAGAGAAGGGTTGAAGGGAATATGAAAACCCAGAAAATCGTTGACCGAGTTAGCACTAGATATACCTATTTTTATTCATTTATCATTTAGTCATTTATTTTATTCATACATATTCATCTTGTTCTTGAAAATTCTGGGTGGGTCTTTTTGTAAGACTAAATTATATAATGATAGAAAGCTATTAAAAATGTTGTAATGCAGGAAGGGGGCACATCACAGATTTAGGATAGAAATTTCCAAAGACCATCAAGAAACCAAACTGATCTATTTCAGGGATATCTTTGAAAAGGTACTTGTCTTAAATAAGCAAGACTTGTCTTTACTTAGCTAGAAGATACTCACATTCCTGTTTCTTCTTTTAGCTGAGCCTAGACTCAAGGAATTAAGAATTGAAAGGTGAACTTGTTCTGGATGATCACTTTTTATTCTTGACGATTAAAAGTAGTATCTGAAAGCAGTTATTATAGAGGTGGACACATTGCAGGCACTCACTGGATGTTTCAAGGTAAATGATAAAGGTATATGTTGAATTGCCAAATTATGTGTATTTTAGACTGGTGTCTCCACGAGTCAGAGTAGGGAAACTCCAGGTGCCGAGATGTGTGGGGCTCTTACCACCAACCCGTGACTGCAGATGTTTAGTTTAGTCTATAGGTTTATCTTGTAGGAGACCAGGCATCCCTACAAAACACTTCTTCTCAGTGCACAGGGTTCTGTATAACAGTGGATATTTTGTTGTAAAATTGATGAGATCATTAGATAATTTAGTATTCCAACCCCTCAGTTAACATTTCAAGTCAGACCCAGAGAGGAAGTGACTTGTCCAAAGTGCACTCACCGTGTTTTGCTAGTTAGTGATATAGCAAGGACTAGAACACAGATCTCTGCATGTGATTATCTTTCTAAGATGGCTCCCATCTCCAGCCCTGGTCAGCAAGCAAAACAAAGCATTGTTTTTCTGAAGTAGTTCAAAGTGCTTTTTAGACTTAATAAGGATTATGTGTTCTATGTTTGATTTAAAGTATGTGGAGAAAATTTAACAGTTAAGAGCTTATATACAAATAGATTATTATTTAGAAAGCCAGGACTAGTAGCTGGGCAAAGTACATAAGCAAACAAGTGAGAAGTTATAAACATCTATAAATATTCACCGGTAAGGGAGTAGCTTAGAAAGCAATACAACATTTTGATAGACTGTTTTGCAAGCAATGAAAAGCTAACTGTAATGACTTTGAAATCATGTCAATCTGCTGGGGATTCTGGACAGTTTTTTTTATCCTTTCCTTTTACACCATGCCTTGTACTGGGAACTCTTTACCTTTTATACTGTGCCTTGTACTTGGAAGTCCTTAGTAAGTTCTTCACTTTTTAAAAAATACATTTAAAGGACTAATTTCATATATAGAATGTTAACTAATGTCAGCTTCTGAAATTCACTGTTCAGTCTGAAATTCATCAGTTTTTTTTTTTAATTTTTTTTTTAATGTTTTATTTATTTCTAGGAGAGAGAGAGAGACAGCGTGAGCAGGGGATGGTCAGAGAGAGAGGGAGTCACAGACTGAAACAGGCTCCAGGCTCTGAGCTGGCAGTCAGCACAGAGCCTGACGCGGGGCTCGAACCCACGAACTGTGAGATCATGACCTAAGCGAAAGTCGGACGCTTAACCGACTAGGCCACCCAGGCGCCCCTGAAATTCATCAGTTTATCTTCTGGCCTATACAGCATGGACAGACAGGGGTGGTTTTGCCCTTATTAGTCTTGATGTATACATTAAAAACTAGCTTAAATATGAGTTGAAATAAGAGTTGGTATGGCAAAGATGTAATGAACTGACACAATGTTTCTGTTAACTTACTAGAACCATCTGAGTGTATGTTAAAAAACTTTTCTAAAAACAAAATTACAACAATCTTAATCAAATCTGTGTTTCTTTCCCGTAGGGCCCCTGTTATGCACCTAAAGCCATATTGGAAACTCCAGAAGAAAGAACGACCTCTGGAAATCAGCAGGGAAACTTTGAGAACTCCTATGAGCCACCACGAAGCTATAAATGATGAAAAATGCAAAGCTAGCTACATGAAACCAAGTGTCTTTCCTTCACCCTCTCTTGGTAAAGCGTCATCTCGAAAGCCTTTTGGGATTCTTTCTCCAAATGTTCTGTGCAGCATGAGTGGGAAGAGCCCGATAGAGAGCAGCTTGAATATTAAAACCAAGAAGAATGCACAGTCTGCAACAATCCACCAGGGTGAAGAAGGGGAAGGGCTGCTTGATATCTGGGCTGTTGTAAAACCGGGAAATACCAAGGAAAAAATTGCATTCTTTGCAGCCCACCAGTGTAGCAATAGGATAGGATCTATGAAAATAAAAAGCTCCTGGGATATTGATGGGAGAGCTACTAAAAGAAGGAAAAAATCAGGAGATCTTAAAAAAGCCAAGATACAGTTAGAAAGGATGAGGGAAGTCAACAGCAGGTGCTACCAGCCCGAGCCCTTTGCGTGTGGCATTGAGCACTGTTCTGTGCATTATGTGAGTGACAGTGGGGATGGCGTCTATGCCGGGAGGCCTCTCTCAGTCATACAGATGGTTGCCTTCCTTGAGCAAAGAGCCAGTGCCCTGCTAGCTACATGTACGACAAACTGCACCAACTCACCTGCTGTGGTGAGGTTTCCTGGGCAATCCAGAGGTGTACCCCCAGGCTCTGAGCCCTTTTCTGCCCCAGGAGCTTGTGAAGAATCCACGGAAAGGGGAAATCCTGAGGTTGGTGAACCACAGAGCGAGCCAATCCGTGTCCTCGACATGGTAGCCAGGCTGGAGTCTGAGTGCCTGAAGCGTCAGAGCCAGCGTGAGCCTGGGAACCTCTCGAGGAATAACAGCTTCCGTCGAAATGTGGGCCGCGTGTTGCTTGCAAATGGCACTCAGGCTAATGAGGGCAAAACAAACAAAGGCGCCTTGGAGGCAGCAGACACTCAGGTGAATCCTGTGGGGTCTGTGTCTGTGGACGGTGGGCCCTCAAGAGCTGACCCTTGTTCTCCCAAGGGGGAGGAGTCCTGGGACGGCGCTCCTCGGGGCCGTCCCTCGTTGCCAGCGAGTGTGAATTTCCTCATGGACAGTGCAGAATTTGAGCCAGATCAGCAAAGTGCTATGAAAAACGGCAATAGATACGATGTGGAGATGACAGAAGAACTTGTTGGGTCATCCTTTCCTCCTCGCACCTGCTCTCAAGCCATTGAACTGCCCACAGATGCTGTTGATTGTCTGAGTAGAGAACTCGTGCCGCTCACTAGCCAAACTCCTGATCAGAGAAGAAAGGAATCTTTGTGCATTAGTATCACTGTGTCCAAGGTAGAGCAAGGCCAGCCTTCTAGTTTAAAGCCCTGTGAAGACCCACTTCCGGGGATGTTGTTTTTTTTGCCACCTGGTCAGCACCAGTCAGACTGTTCCCAGTTGAATGAAAGCACAGGGGAGTCTTGCGTTGCCGGCCAGCTTCAGGCTGCTGCTGAGGGCGATGGTACCGCTGAGGAGAAAAGTGTTGCCGCTGATTCGCTTGTCCTGCCAGCCTCTCCTGCGGAAAGCACGCTACCGGTGCTTGAGTTGTCCAGTTGGAAGAAGCAAGTGTCTCATGACTTTCTGGAGACCAGGTTTAAAATCCAGCAGCTTCTGGAGCCTCAGCAGTACATGGCTTTTCTGCCCCACCACCTCATGGTGAAAATCTTCAGGTTACTTCCCACCAGGAGCTTAGTGGCTCTCAAGTGTACCTGCTGCTATTTCAAGTTTATCATTGAATACTACAATATCAGGCCAGCAGATTCCCGCTGGGTGCGAGATCCACGGTACAGAGAGGACCCTTGCAAGCAGTGCAAGAAAAAGTACGTGAAAGGGGATGTGTCCCTGTGCCGGTGGCACCCCAAGCCCTACTGCCAGGCTTTGCCCTACGGGCCAGGATACTGGATGTGCTGCCACCGGTCTCAGAAAGCCTTCCCTGGCTGTAAGCTGGGGCTTCATGACAATCACTGGGTCCCTGCGTGTCACAGCTTTAATCGGGCAATCCATAAGAAAGCAAAGGGGACGGACACTGAAGAGGAATACTGAAGCCTTCGTGAGAGGCGACAGAAGGACTGGTTTTCTAGAATTGCAGACCCCCACCTCGAGCTATAGAGACACCATGCAAGTGAGTGTTGCCTCTCAGAGCTGTCCCTCTAGGCGAATCCGTACGTATTCTATCAGGACTGGCATTGCTCAGGCAATTTTTAAACTCTTGCTTTACGCACTGTACAAGGAAATCGGTCTCATTGTTTATAGTGGCACCTCCCATTTGGTTCAGGGTGGTACCCCACAGTTTGATTCACTTAGCTGTGAATAACTATGCCTGTTCTCCCAAACAAATCCATCCTCAGAGGACGAAGACTTGCCACCGTCAAGGACATTCAGAAGAGTTCATTGCAGACTATGCAGGCGATCCCCAAAAAGGGGTTCCAGAAATGTTTTCAAGCACTGGCACCATATTTGAAATAAGTGAGTAGTGTCCTATGGAAAATAGCAGCACTCTCGGACGAAAGTATGCTTTCAAAGGAAAAGTCAGGCACCTTACCTTAGCCCTTGTATGCTTGATCTGTGAGATTGAGGTTTGTGATTGGAGATGGATTTCATGCCCTGTGGTGTTTACAGTGTATATAATGGTTGTGTTTTCATAGGGCTGTGAAAGTGCACATTAAACCCGAGCGCCTTTACCTTAGATGAGTGCTTTTGACCCCTCTGTAAATAACACTGTTAAATCCAGTTGTATAGCGCAGACAGCTGACTGAACAGAAGCCCCACAATGCAGCTAGGATAGTGTTGCGGCTACAGTTTTATGGGGTTTTTGTGTGTGTGTATGTGTGTGTGTGTGTGTGTGTGTGTGTTTTGTCTTGTCTTAAATTTGTACATCCTGTATAAAATATGAATGTTTCCCAAATAAACTATGAATGTTTCCTGTATAATATATGAATGTTTCTGAGAAGAAACTCTAAATAGTTAAGAGGTTAACCTGTTGAAGATACCAAATAATGGTTTAACTGGACAACCTTAAAATTAGCATAGAGAAAAATCCTTTGTTATATTTTAGTGATCCATCAAGAATGAGAGAATAATATTATATAGTCAGATTATAACATTCTTGTCTACTTTACTCTTTCTGTCTGGTTATGAATTTTTTTTAACTTCAATAAAAACATGCATCTTAAATGGGACCTGAGTTCTGCGGATTTTTTTTTCCTCCCTTTTTGAGGTAATACTGGAGAATTATGTTGTGAATTGAATCATTAAGAGATTAAACTTTTTTAGTTGTTAGGGGGAAGGGGGAGAGAAAATTGTTTTTCTGCCACAGAAAGAGACCACCTTGACTTAACATTATGAACCAACATTTTTGTAACACTTTAACACTTATTTTGAGTTTGTTGTCTGCCCAACACCCACTGTGTCTCCTGTTGGAGGAGGTATTATCTAGAATGTTCTCACAGCTTGTCTAGGCATAACTAATTATTAAGAAGTCAGTGAGGATACATTCAGGTCTATGGTCATGTAATGCTGGGTGCATCCGGAAGGTATCAAGTCCCAGAAAGCTTCAGATCCCAGAAAGAGGACCTGAAGACTAGGCTTGAAATCAGGCACCCACCAAAACCCCGTATTATCGCTGTCACCTCCAGAAAGGGGCTGATGGGGAAGTGGTTGAGTAAAGGCCTTGATGGCTCTGAAGGAGAGAGATGTAAAGATTGAGTAGGTGTTGGCTCGGACAGCGAAGCAGAGTGGGACAGGACTGGGTCCAGGGTTACCCGTGGCTGAGGGGTGGGTGGCCACGGAGCGGCTGGCACACTGGAATCTGCCATGGCTTGTTCTGCCCTCATCAGTAGACAAGCTGCTCCTCTCCGAAGAGGCAGTACTGAAACTGGAGAGTGTCTCTTGATGCTGAACAAGTCTTCCTGTCAGGAGATGACGATACCTCGGACGCACTAAGCCAGACCCCGAGACTCACGGATCTGCCTGTGACACAGGACAAGGAGAGGCCGGGAGAGCTTACCTTTCCTTGATGGGCTCGGTGCCCTTCCCCTGGTCTTGCCCAAGTGGAGGTATGTTGGAAATGCTTTTCAGTCCGAGCACCCTGGGCTGAGGTCTCCAGTGCTTGTCCTCCTCTCGCTGTCTCTGCACACCTTCCAGATTGCGTTCTCATGGCTTGTGATTTAGGATCTCAGCAGTTGGGCACACACGGGATTTCGAGGACAGCTGGGTGTGTGGATAGTGCCCAGGAAACATAGCTCTCATTGCTATTGGCTGTTGGTTCTCCATTTGCCCAGGGTGGATGCGCAGGATAAACAATTTTTTTGGTTGGTTTTCCCAAGTCCGCCATTCAGGATCTGGTTTTCACGTGGGACGCAAAGCTGTGCCTCAGGCTGACCGAGAGCAGAGGACAAGGTAAGAATGCCCCAACCCCATCTTGGCATGTGATTCTTGGGGCCTCAGAGATTATCGACGACCCCTTTTGAACTTTGTGTCAGGGCTGAGTTCCCAGTGCTGTGTGAATGATGGGGGATTTTAGCAGGTGGCATCAGAGGGCACTCCCTCCCTGGTCTTGATTTAGAAGAGTGTAGTGCTCCTCTTAGGAGAAGGCCACTGTGCTTCAGAGCCCCCTAGTGCCAAGCGGGTGGAAACAGCCCAGTTGAAATTTCTTGCTACAGCACAGCACTCGCTGCCTTCCCACACTGCTCTAGAATCTTAGGCTCCTAAGAAAGGAGACAACCATGTGGGCACCAGGACTGCAGCTTCTCCACTGCCATGGGCACCCAGATAGAGAAGACCTTCACCTTTCTGCTTTTGCTCAGAGGCTCTGATGTGCCTGGCTTAGTTTTCCTCACCCACCATTAGAAAAGTCCGAGAAATCTGGGAGTCAAGAGTCCCTCCCCGCATCCCTGGGGCAGTTCAGCTCTGTGTCCTGCCCGGTGGAGATACCAGATAGCCCAAGGCAGGGGATGAATTGGAAATGGGAAAGGGGCTAAGATAAAAAAAAAATTGTATCCAGGCCTTATGGGATAAAATGGCCATGGGAAGGGATCCTTCAGAAGTGACCACATACCCTCCCTGCCTAAGCACACTGAGAGCTCTGGGCTCTGGAGGCGCTTCCTCTGGGCAGCCCCACCCTGTCCCGCCCACCTTGTTGGGCTGGGTGCCTTTCGGCAAGCACGCTGCGTTCCTCTGCCACACTTCCCGTTTTATGTATTGGTCTTGCTCCCCCACTCCTCTGGGCTCATAGAGGGTAGCTTGGTCATGCCCTCCCCTCAGTGACTCACACGCAGTACCTGCTCCATAAAATGTTAATAATCCTCTCTAGGGACTGTCCTGATGTGAGATGCGCCGGCAGGTTCTGATGGCTCTAGGCTACACTAATTTTCCACCAAGTATGAGAAACCTGAAGTGGGGAGGATAAAGGGATCTAGGAGAATCAGAGCGGGTCCCATGGGGGCCTTCTTGGTTAGAGATGCTCCTACAGCAGCCCTAGATTTGTGGGTGACTGTCAGTTGTGCATCTGGTATGATCTGGGCTCTGTCACTACAGGTGGCTCCTGACAGCAGGCGGCTCTGGGCCTTGTGGCTGTGGGCGTGGACAGTTTTGCCTGACCTAGGAGCTCCCTTCCTGGGTCTGTCCAGTTATCCCTTCTGACTTGGGCTTGTCAGGGCCTCCTTGCCAACCTCTATGGACAGGCCTTGGAGACTTTTTACTATGTGGGTATTTCCGGGCATTTTCAGTAGCTTTCACTGCCATCATTTCTTCACTCAGCAGACTGGCTGTTTGTCCTCTCCTTTCTCCACACCTGCCTCAAAACCAGAATGAAGCCAGTCTGCACCAGACTCCTTGTTGTATAATAGTAACAAGAGCCAATGTTCTGTAGTTCTTCTGGTCAGGGACCATGCTGCAGTGCAATGTGTTCGCTGCTGTGCACAGCGCCTAGCACGGGGGGAAGCTGATCATTTCTAGCCCTCCTTTTCCTCTGTGTTCAAACAAGCTAGTGTTGCAGTCTTTTTAAGTTGGTAAAAGTACCTTTGTGGGAAATGTGCAATCCTTTCTATTGACATGTATGCCATTCCTAAGTTTGTGGCCATAGCTGGTATTTGCCCAACCTCACGCAAGAGCAAACATTGTAGTCATGCTCCCATGGGTGGCTTCCAGTATACTGATGCATAAGCAAAACTACAGGCAGCACCCCTATTCTAGGTCCTTGTTTGACTGTGGTATTATTTTAGAGGCATAGAGCCACTAGTGTTGGTAGCTGGGAAGGGAGTCAGGAACAGAGGGGTGACAGTCTCTTACACTGCAACAACCATTGTGAGAGGTGATATTCCTCTAAAAACCAAAATGAAGCCTACTCCCCTCAAAGCCTCCCCCCCCCCCCCCCCCCGGAGCCTGGCCAAGGTGTCTGGGGGGCACAGCCCNCCCCCCCCCCCCCCCCAATCTAGTCTCTAGCAGAGAAAAGGCCTCAGGACAAATCAGTTCAGGTACCCTTTGTCTCAAATTGTCTTTGGATTAAGGTGAGCTATAAAAACAATGTTAAAAGTTAGAAGGCTCTATTAAATGTTTGGCTTTTCTATTTGGAATGATGAAACACAGCAGGGATTACTCTCTAAAGTTAGCATTTAGGGGGGAAATGGCATACAGCTGGAATTACTCTCAGAAATGCTTTGTGTCCGTCACCCAGTAGACAGTGATGTGTACCATGTACGGTGCTGAGAAATGTGTAAGATACAAAAGAGGAGGTGCTCTTGCTGAGGGACCAGCTGCGCAGCAGAAACAGACGAGGAATGGCACATCCCGTCTCCCGGTTAATCAGAGCAGTAATACCTGTGCTATTTAAATTACTTCCTTTCTGTCCCCTCCCCCCCATCGAACAGTTGATTCACAAACTGGTATTTTCAGGTCTTGAGTAGTATGAGAAATATGGTGCAGTTCTTCAAAAACTAAATTCAGGAGCACCTGGCTGGCTCAGTTGAGGGTCCGACTTCCGCTCAGGTCATGATCTCGTGGTCCATGAGTTCAAGCCCATGTCAGCCTCTGTGCTGACAGCTCAGAGCCTGGAGTCTGTTTTGGATTCTGTGTCTTCCTCTCTGCCCCGCCCCCCATGCTCGCTTCCTCTCTCTCAAAAATAAAAAACATTTTAAAAAAACCCAAATTCAACCTAAGTTGCTAACTGGTAAAATATAGAGCAAGGTTGTCTTTGTGTCAGGCCCCTGTCCCCACCTAAGAGGTTAGATGTTCTATTTGCACAACTGGTGTTTGCAGGCCACGGCGAGTAGGGGTGGAGCCAGGCCTGAGCCACGGCCTTCCATATTCTGGGACTCAGCCATCTGCCTTCACTGCCCTCTTGCTCTTGAAGCCTCCTCTGCATGCGCGGTTGAGCAGGATCATCCTGCAGGGTTTGGGGCCTGCCGTCGACACTTCTTCCACCGCAGCCCTGCCGGACTCTCCCGGGTAGAGGGGGTGACGCGGCTGCCCCAGCACCCAGCTGGGACCTTTCCTGTTTCCGCTTTCTTCTCCGCAGCCAGGAGTCCGGGCCTAAGGCCCCTCAATTTATTCCAGTCTGTACTCACAGAGGTTCTTCCTTGCACAGGGTCGGTCTCAATAGGAAACTGAGGACACATCCACAGTGAGCGAACTCGAGGAATATTTATTATAACAGTGTGGGTGTGGGGCAAGGCTTCCCCAGTAGTTTTGTGGCTCAGGGCAAGAATGCAAATCGGACCCTTCTCCAGCCCCTCCCTTCTCTGCACACCCATCTTATTTTTTTTCATATTGATTCCATGTTGAAATAATTGAGATATCTTGAATATAAAAATTTTACCTATTTTTACCATTTTAATGAGACTAACAAAATTTAAAGTTACACGTACAGGTTACATTTCTACTTGACAATTCTGATTCAGTGGTGCTCAAGATCCTGCATTTTTAAAATACGGACATACAGACTTTTATTATCCCATTAAAAATTGTAATTATTGGAGTATAGTTGATAGTGTTATAGGAGTTTCAGGTGTGCAAAATAGTGTGATTCAGCAATTCTGTACATTGCTCAGTGCTCATCACAGGTGAGTTTAGTTAACCACCTGCCACACACAGTGTTGTTACAATATTATTGCTATATTCGTTTGCTGTACTTTTCCATCTCTGTGACTTGTTTTTTAAAGTAAGTTCTAAGCCCAATGTGGGG